GCAATCTATTTTGCTTTGTTTTTTTTTGCTTACCAAAAACGATGATGCTTAAAAAAATGAGAATCAGATTTTAAATCCAAATCTTTGCATCTTCATTGGATAATATCCTCGTTTTTTTGTTTTGTTTTTGTTTTTTATTTACAAAAAAAAAATCAAGTTTGTAAACAAAAACAAAACAAAATACGTTTCATTTTTCATTTTCAATTCTAATCATCATCATCATCATCATGATGCTCCCATCACACGATGCTATGATCATCATCATCATCATCATCAAAGATCTATTCATACTGATATCACAGGCGCAATTCCCAAAAATAATCCACAAACACACACACACTATCAACAAGATGGATCGTTTGTTTTGTATTTTTATTTTCATTTTCTTAGTTTCAAAAATACACGTACATAGCATAGATAAACTAGAATTTTTTTTTTCGTTTTTGAAAAATTTTTGAATTAATTAATTCTCATTGTTTTTTATTCAAATAATAATGATAATTTTGTTCACATCAGTAAAGTTTAGTTTAGTTTTTTTTTGTTGAAAACAATCATGTTTTTTTAACATATATTTCAATATGAATGTAGCTATTTTTGATCCTGGATCTATACACGATGTGTATATATTTGTTTCATGTTTGATGTACGGTGTGTGCGTGGGCCGATGAATGTGTAAACATTGATATCGTAGAATGATTTAGCAGAATAAAATTTTCATTCATCATGATCATCATCATCATTATAATCATCAAATATCGTTCAGATTATGAAAAGACATTGAACCCGAAATTGTCAATAACAAAAAAAACAAACAAACAAATAAGACAAAGATGGACAAAAAAAATGGAAAAATTTTATAACATCGATTTCGATAAAATTTCATCGTTATTCGGTTTCATCATTTTTATTTCAAATCAATCGTGTGTATGTCATCATACGAAAGGAGAAAAGGTGGCAAATGAAAAAAAAACGATGGCATTTTTTTGGCAGAGAAATTTTCTGTAAAAAAAAACTTGAATTAAGTAATAATTCATTTAGAACATCATATTATGGTACTTTTTTTTCTGGATCAGATTGGTAGTTTAACATAGCTTTACATCAAGATTGAAATGAATGAATGGATAAAACAAAAAAAAACAAAAATTAAAGATTTGGACAGGATAATCCGAATGGCGTCAAAAAAATAAAAAGAAAAAGAAAAAACAACAAATCTTTGCCGAAGAATCATTCAATTTCGATTAAATCTTTTTTTAACATCCAATCTATGTATGGATGGATGGATGGACAAAATGCTATCCCAAAAAAAAAATAATAATCATTACTGGAAAAAAAATTGAATAGATCATTTTTTTCTGGCTATTTAGCTTCAATTGTTTGGATTATTATTATTATTTTTTTTTTAGTTGTTGAATGAATCGTTTATCGTTTGATTTTGTTTTCTGATAATGTATGTTTGTGTGATTTATGTTGATGAATGAATTGGGATTCTAATTTTAAACAACTTTGATAGATTTCTTTTTTTTTGTTCATCTCGAAATTGAGTGAAAAAAAACAATTAACACTTTTAGTTGATTGGACGTAGAAAAGTTTATTACATAAGCTACTTATAGTTGAAATATTTTTCTATCGTTTTTTTTTCATCATAAGTTCATTCTACATAATAATAATAAAGGGGGCAATAAGTCAGGAATATTATCAGTCGAAAACGATTGATTGATTGATTGATTAGAAAAACAACTGATAAGGCTATCTTGGGATGGATGCTAATTTGTTTGGTTTTTTTTTGTTGATGACTGAAAAAAAAACGGGAAATATTTTCCATTTCATTTTGTTTTTTCTTTTCTTTACTTTTATTCTCTTATCTGATATATGAAACAAAAAACTAGAATTTTTCCACTATATATTTACCTGGATGAATGATCATCAGACTGTTAAATAATCATTCTAACAATCAATCGATCGATTGATCATTTTGATTGATTGATTGATTGATTGCATAGATTTGCAATCGATTCGTTACGGATTCATAGGTTTTTATTTTCATTTTTTTTTCTTTCTCTCTCACTCTATCTCCTAATATCACAAACGATCGATTGATTTGAACAGAAAATCGATTGGGAAGAAAAACATGGAGAAATCTTGATTGCCAAACACACACACACACAAATAATGAAAGTGAAAAAAATCAAACTAAAAAGGTTTGACAATCATCAAAACTTTCAGGGAAACCAATTTTGATTTGTGTGGTGTGTGTGTGTGTGTGTAAATATAAATCATCATCAACAACAACCGACAAAAAAATGGAAGAAGAACAAACAAATATCGGACACCTGGAACAACATGACAATTTTGGTCGGACGCGTAATCATTATTATTTCACATTTTCATTCATTCCGTTTTTTTCCCTTTTTTTTGGTCACGAGTAGATCATCATCATCATTTCAAAAAAAATCTTGGCATTTTTCGTTTGTTGTTGTTGTTGTTACAGTGCCAGCATGCATATGTGTGATTTCAGGTGTGAAATTTACGTTCAAAAAAAAAAAAATCTTATTTTTATTTACTTTTTTTCGGCCATTCATAAACACTATTATTTGATGAAAATTAAGAGAAATGCATTTACCGTATAAATAACCGTATTTATATAGAAATGTTTACCAAAAATAAGTTTGCTAGTTTGTTAGTAAGTAGTCCGTATAAAATCGAAATAGCCAACGAACAAAACTTTTATTGTTAAATTTACAAGAAGAACAAAACAAAACAAAATTTATATTTTCATAATCGTATCCGATACAGAACAAAAAACAAAAATTGACTCAAGGAAATCATTCCAGGTTTGTCCAGGATCAAAATCAAACAAATATTTTCATAATGTTTGAAGAAAAAAAAACAATTGTCAAATTTTTTTTTATTATTTTCAACCAAAACCAAACAAACAAAAATGATAATTTTTCGCTTTAATGATGATAATAATAAGTGGTGGTGGTGGTGGTGGTGGTTGTAATGGAACCAGAAAAAAAAGATCGGACCAGTTATTGTGTCATGATATGAAATGGATGGAAAAAATGGTTTCTTTTTTTTCATTAAAAAAAATATAACTTAAAATGAATAGATATTTTTATATATTTCGGCTATTATTTTTTCCAGAAAAAAAAAATTTCATTTTCATTCATTTTCTGTTTTGCTTGCTTGCTTGACCAAACGAAATGAAACGAAACATTTATCATCAACATCGACATAAAATGGAAGCTAAATGAAATATAAAACAAAATAGACAAGTTTTAAATGTTGTTGTTGTTGTTAAATTTGTTATGTATGAAAATTATTTTCGAAAATTTCCGGTTCTATTTCCACACACACACACACACACACACATTATACACAAATAAGATGAACCTAATACAAACATAACATGTGTATAAATAGTGTTTTTGGATGTTCACAGACGCAGACATACAGACTGAAACCAATGGATTCATTTTTTTTTTGGCTGCAAAAAATGATTATGATGGAAGATATCATCATCATCATCATCATCAAGAAAGAGAGATGGAAAAAAAAACCTGTGTGACACAGATATGATGATGATGGAGAATTGATGGCTGGCATTTAAAAACACAAACACAGGTTATACTTCCGTTTTTTATCCACATCATCATCATCATCATCAACAACAACAGCCTTATTATTTCAATTGTCAAAAATTGAAAACAAAAAAAAAAGTCAAAAGTCAAATACACACACGTATTTTATTGAAAAACAGAGAAGAAAAAAAAATAAAGTCATTCTCATCATATAAGCTCAACGATAACAATTGAAATACATCGGGTCGCCAAAGAACGACAATAACAACAACAAAAAACGCGTGCACGATTTTATATTCGACTCTTTTCGACATTTTAAAATGCTACGAAATTGAATTGAATTGAAAACTTTTATTTTCTTTAAAAAAAATTTCGATTCATGACTGATTGAAGAATACATCTGATTATGATGATGATGATGATGATGATGATGATGATAATGATATGATATGAATCATGAAAAGTCAAAAGAAATGATTTCATCAAGCGGGATAATAATATGATGATGATCCAATTGGATCATCATCATTAGTTGGGTGTTTACAAAGCCATTTGAAAGCATCAGTAGAAAGAAAAAAAAAAGATTGAAAAATCCTTCAAACAATAACTTGGAAAAAAATACGAAAATCCTTTTTACGATTTTCATTTTCATTTTTCATTCTTTCGTGCCATCATCATCATTCATATAACAAGTGTTATGCAAGCTTTAAGGAGAAAACAAAAATCAAATTCAAGATTTCAGATTTTATTTTTTCTTTGAGAAGAAAAAAAGAAAAAGAAAAAACATTTTTGCTTAACAATAATGATGATGATAATGGTGGTGGTGATGGTTGCGGTGGGGATGGTGGTGAAGATCATATAAGTGAAAAAGAAAATAATAATAATCTTCATCCATCTTATGTATATGGCTATTGTTTAGCGATCAAATTTCATTTCGTTTGAATTCATTTGTTCGTTTTTTTCCGTTAAACGATTATAATCATCATCATCATCATCATTAAACACGACTTTGGTTCAAAGCGATGATTATTAACAAATATGGTTTCGATAACATCTTTTCGTTGTTGTTGTTGTCGTTGAAATGATATTCATTTCCGTTTTTTTTTCGTTGGTTTAGTCATTATATGGGAAAATATGATGACAAATAAATCTGACAAAAAAAAATGAATAATCGATCGATGGATCGATCGATCAATCGATTCGATTCATTGATTATCAATTTCATTCAATTTATGACCAAATGGAAATATATCATCATCATCATCATTTTTTGTTTCGCTTGGGAATCTGAACAAATAAACATCGAAGATTGATTGAACAATAACATTGGTTATGTGTAGAACATTTAATCAATATTAGTCAATGAGTTGTAATGATGCGCATCCACTTGTATTTGATCGTTTTGTTGATTCATTCAAATTAATTCATTTTGTTGTTTTTTTTTCATTTCATCAATGTTTGATGATGCTACTTGTTCATCGAAAGATTAACAACAACAACAACAAAACTAGGAAATGATTTTCTAATGATTATTTTTTTCTTTTTAATTTTGATTCTTCCGGAAAGGATTATCATGTAAGTTTTTTTAAAATTTTATTATCAAAATAAAAATGAAGAAGCTAATTCGACCCAATTTTTGTTGTTCGTTTGGATACCCAGCTTAATAAAATTGGTAACCATTATTTGTTTGTTTGTTTTTAATGACCAATATCTTTTTATTACAGGTCAATTGTTTGTTTGTATCGATTACCTAGGTCATCATCAATTCACATCATTAATGGTGACAAACAAACAAAACAATCAATGTTGAATTGGATAAAAAAAACAGGATAATAAATGAATTGACCGATAAAGATGATGACAATCAATTGAAAGATAAAAAACATTACTTTTGTCTATGTGAACGATTTAAACGAAAAACAATTGATAATAGGAGATAATGATGATCAAGGAAAAAAAACAAACAAACAAATTAATCGATTTGAACAAGATTTTTTTCTTTGTTTTGTTTTGTTTTGCTACACGTGTTAGTTCAAATAAGATCATGACATAAGATAATCATCATCATCATCATCATTGAAAATTGATTAAATTGGTTGGTATTCACAAAAAATCACGGAAAATCACTGAATTTACTTGAAAATTTGATCATATAAATCTTATGGGAAATAGGGAAAATAATAATTTTTTCCAGGTTTTTTTTCCAAACTCAAATATGAATTACCGACATGAAATTTTTCTCCATAATCATCATCAAATTTGTCATAGTTTGTTAAAATTTCTTTTCAAAAAAATTATGTTTTAATTACACAATGAATAAAAAAAAGCTTTGCTTCCTGATTACTCTGGCTGGTGAAAATTTCTTCTTCTTTTTTTTTGTTACAAAACAACAAAAAAAACAAAATATTTTCACAGAAACAATTCGCATCATAAAGATATCACATCAAATTAATCAAATTAGAAAAAGACAAAAATCCGTATCAGAATTTTTTTGTTTCACACAGGCTACAAACATTTGACACAAACTTTGAATGGACAAACAAACTGTTGATGAATGAAATAAATCGATCAAATTAAAGATGACTAATGATGCATCGAAATCAAGGACAAAATTATTCTTCCAATTAATAATAATGATGTTTCGTTTTTCCAAAATATGCAATTCCAAAATACAATCGCGATTGATTTGTTCTGATAATAGTTGAAATGAAATTTAAAATTTAAAAATTCAATTTAATTGACCGAAACGAAAATTTTTCATTATTATTGATGTTTTGAATGAATTATGAGGCAAGAAAAAAAATTTGAAAAGATAAAAAAAAAATGTTCATCCTGGTGGAACCACCGCCATTATTTATTATTATTATCGTCATCATTGCATGCATGCATGCATGCATACAGCACATTCAGGCCGTTACCATTTACGGAAATTCCGTATATTTGCCTGTGAATTGAAATACAAAAGATAAAAAATACATGCAAGAATGTCATTGAAAAAAAAGGAAAAAAAACAAGTCTAACAACAATAATGATTGAAAATTGACTAAAAGATTACTTCTGAAAAGAAAATTAATCAAATTTGATCGGATTATTTGCATATAATGTTATGATGAATGATCCTTGACCATCAGTCATACGATATCTATGATTGGTGAAAAGAAAATTAACAACAAAAAAAATTAATTAATCAATCAAATATGATCAATATTTTTTTTTATGTTTGAAAAAAAATCCAACTTACTCTAATTTCTTTTTGACTATAAAATTTGTTAGATATCGACGTATAGTACCGGAGCCGATTCCGGTTATGATCTTGAACTCTAATTTATCATTGTTGTTGGCTGATATTTTCTTCTTTTCTCCATCATCATTATTATTATTGTTATTGTTATTAACTAATAATTGTTGTTGTTTAGTGGCCAATATTGTCGGTACAATAATACGAACTTCATTCATATGCAATTGATGTAGATCCATAATATTTTCGTTAAAACTAATTGATTTTTTCAACAAAAAAAAAAGAGAAAAAAAAATCGTTAAACAACTGAACAATATGTGTGTGTGATTGTGATTATTATGATTGTTAAAAAAAACTAACTCATAATTTTGATATGCATCAATAATTTCTTCACTTAATCGTCTTAGTTCCTGATAAACTTTACGTATTTCATCATGATAACGATGAATAATTTTATGACCATTTTTCATGAATTTTATCTTTTTCCTTTGTAAATGTTCTAATTTTAATCGATAACAATGTCTTTGTTTTAAAAATTCATCAATAATTGCAAAAAATTTCTGTTGATCATTGATTTTTATATTATCATCACCATCACCATTATCATCATCATCATCGTTATCATCAGTATCATGACTAACGAAGATTTGATCAACATCAACAAGATTTATTGTCTTTATTGGTGATTCTTTATTTTTTTTCTTCTTCTTCTTTTTTATCTTCTTTTTCTTATTTGCGGTCACCGTAGTCAGCGTCGATTTCACCATCAAGTTGTCAACAATTTTGATTGGTTTTTTTACCACTTCACTATATAAGGATTTATTGTAATATAATGGTAATTTACAATCATAAAATGCTTCAATATCTTTTATTGTTTCATTTAGATTGAAGCTTTTATGATGACGATGATGACATGACATGAAAAAAAAGAGAAAAAAAATCAATAAATTCAATTAAACTGAAATCGATTAAAGTTTTTCTTTCAAAGAAAAAACAATAGATTGAATTAATTCGATTTTTTGTTGTTGTTGTGAAAACAAAACTTACAAGTTCAATTCAAATAAACGATTCAATTTCAATAGGTCAACACCGGGAAAATGTTTGATGAGAAAATCACGTTTTTTTTCCAATAACCATTCTTGTAATAATGCTTGACGTTCGATTTTTGATTGATTATTATTATTGTTATTATTTTCATTATTGCATTCATGTAGATATTCTTGCCGTTTTCTAATTAAATTTTGTAGATATTCTTGTCGACTAGCTTGAATTGCTTTTTCCGTTTCCATTATTTCCGATATATGATCATCATCATCAACCAATGGACATAATTCATCATCATTATTGAAATCTGTTGCTGTTGTAACAAGATGATCATAGGTATTTTGAATATAATTAATTAGATTCCAATAAATTTCATAAGCTAAATCCATATTAATAGGTAAATAGATTGTATCTTTCATACGTAAATCTTCACGAATTGTTGTCGATGCTGTATCATTTAACAAATCATTACGTGTTTCCATTAGATAATGTAAATTATCAAAAAATTCTGTTGTTATCGGTAAATATATTGTATCATTAGATGATGCGATCGATGATGAAAAAGCAGAATCATTATCATCATTATCATAATCATTATTCTTATTGTTTGTTCCATATAGTTCAATTAGAATTTTTCTTGTTGATTGATAATCATTTTCAAAATGTTCCATTATATCATTCAAACATTGATGATCAATATTTAAGAATTCTTTTTGAAGTTTACGATATTCTTGTTTATTCCTATTATTATTGCTCATTGTTGTTAACTTGTTGTTGAAAATTTATAAAATGTTTTCCAATTCATAAAATGCAAATGATCTAGAAAAAAAAGGAATTAATGATAATTATCATTATTAATTTGACCTTGTATTGATTGATAATAATGATTAAATTTAAATTATAAATCAATCATTAAAATCAGGATTGATTGATTGATTGATTGAAAGAAACTTTTACCCAATTATATTAGCACTTTTTTCACATGAAAAATATCGAGGTCGATGTTTTTTCACACATTTTTTTTCACAATATTTACGGTTGCTAAATTAAAGAAAGAAATCATTAAACTCAATTAATGGTATGGCACAAAACTTAATCATAGTAAATGATTTGGGATATATTTATTTCAACGATTATTGATCGAATCCTGTTTATTCGTAATCATCAAATCATTATCATTGATTTGATACTCATCATTGGTTCCAGGATTAATGATTTAATATTCATTGAGCAACAAGTGGTGCGCTATGATTTATACGATGTTATCATTATCAACAACAATTTAATATTGATTAAAAAAAAATGTAAACAGATTATGTTAATACATGGAAAGTGTATCAATTTTATTCATTCAAAAACAAATATAACTTTTCGTCTATGAAAATCACAACAACAGCAACCGATGAAGAATTTTTTTCCCAAAATTAATCAATCAAAAAAAAAGAGCAAAAAAAATATGGATGAATGTTGGGGAAATCAAAGAAACGTTAACAATCATCAAATGACAATTGTGTATTGCAAAAAGTGGAGATTCAATTGGATTAGATACAATTTTATCACATCTTTTTTTCGAAAATCATTACAATATTTGTACAAACAAAATATATAGATTTGTGTGATAATAACAACCGGAATGTTATTGATTTTGATAACATTTTGACCAGATCAAGTTATTCGTTGTGTTTGTATATGAACGTATTTGTCGATGAAATTGATTAGCTGATATGTCCAAATGTTTTAGTTCATCCGAACCATCACAACAATCACAAATTCTATTGCGAAAAAAATTCAACAAAATTATTAACTAAAAATTCAAAAATTCAAAAACTTACCCATCATTTACACGATGATATGGTATGGCTACTATCGGACATGATGATGATGAATGACAATAAAACATTAATGGTTGATTGACATTCGATTTTGATGATGATGATGATGAGAATAATAATGATGAACAGGCACTGGTTGATGGTTCATCACTACCATCTGAACAATCACAATAATCATCATTGAAATATTTTTCATCAATTAATGTTATCGGCTCGTGGTCATTTAGACAATGAAAATAACCAGGACGATATTGAAATGCACGACGATATTGTTCCATATGATGATCATCGATACCGATTATTATATCGTGAAAATGTATATTACTACCATCATTACTATTATCATCTGGTGATCGAATCTGATCATCAATCATTTTTGTATTGTATTGCTGCCGTTTTTCATTAATATTTACATTATCATAATTTTGATTCAATGAAGACGATGATTGTTGTAATGATAATGATTGTGATGGAACCAAAACAATTGCTTTTGATGATGATGATGATTTTAATGTTGAAACATTGGCAACATTAACTAATAAACGATAATAATAAAGTTGATAAATAATGAATATTAATGATATCGATAGTAAGATAAAGAAAAGTTTTCGCCAACATTTACGTAATTGTATCATTTTTTTTAAATTGAGTATTTGGGGCAAAATTTCCACCATTAAAGAGAAAGACAATAAAACACACATACACTTAATGACAATGGCAACATTCTGATAATCAACACAAAAAAAAGAGCCAGACAATTGAAACAAAACAAATCATACAGATGGCGCCAACACCGAAAATGAATTCTTTTTTAATTTGGTTTCATATTTGAATTTTTTTTAACATTCTATCAAAAAAAAAAAAAAAAAAAAAAAAAAAAAAAAAAAAAAAAAATACAAACAAACGAACAAAAGAGATTGAATAAGGCAGAAAAAAAAATCCTGATCATAATAATGATAATTTCAAAATATCNCCAAACCAAAAAATAAATTTTTTTTTAATTTGGTTTTTTTTTTTAATTTTTTTTAAAATTTTAAAAAAAAAAAAAAAAAAAAAAAAAAAAAAATACAAACAAACGAACAAAAGAGATTGAATAAGGCAGAAAAAAAATCCTGATCATAATAATGATAATTTCAAAATATCTTTGTCGACACATTGATCGATTAACATATAATATTAAAATTGTTAACCATTTCTTATTTCTTATTTCTGTGTTGTTCTAATTTATGGATTACATTCAATTCTGAATGGACTGCCAGGAATATGATCATCACCATATCGAACAACGATAATATGATCACCACGTTCTCTTGTTGTATAGGTAATATTATAATTATTACGACCTTGATGACGTATATCGATTGCTTCGCATGGTCCACGTGGTCCATATACGGCCACAAAAAGAAAATTGTTACCTAACCAAAAAAAAACCAATAGGATAAAATTTTACTCATTCAAAGAAAAATTTGACTCCAATTACCAGCATTCGAAGCATTCACATTGAATGTATTCTGACGATTCAATATAGCACGTTTTAAGCCAACACCTTTTGATTCAACACGATTTGCTTCCGATTTAAATTTAGGCATCTGATTACCTTGATTTTTTGATTGTTTCGTTACGGTTTCAACAACAACTTGTGCAGATTCAAAATCCGATATATCAGCAATACTTCGTGTACCTAATTGTTTAATTGTTGCATGAATATTCAATCATAATAATCGATTGCGAAAGCAACTTACCCATACAACGAACTTTAAATGGACTGCCAACAATATGATAACCATTATATTTGATTGTAATCAAATATTCACCAGGTGCCAATGGTGTATAACGTACTTTATAACCTTCTTCAACTTCGGTACAATCCATTGAAACTTTTGTCGGACCATCGATAGTAACCGCTAATGTACCAGCACCAGCATTACATGTATCAATAATGAAATCCGTTTTAACACCAGTACGTGCTTCTTTGATTCCACTACCGGCAACCGAAACGCTTGCTGGATCAGCATCATCTTTACCGATACGCATTGAGAATGGACTTTCCGGTATATGAACACCATTAAAACGTACATAAATACGATGTACACCATTTTCACGTGGAATAAATCGTAATGCCCATTGATCATCATCAATTTTACTTAGAAAACAATCATCTTCAGCACCACTTGGTGCAATCACTTTACCATCCAGACTTCCTTTAGCACCATTCATATTGATTGTAAATGTAACTGGTGAATTCACTTTCAACATATGTTCAGGTGGAATTGCACCCAATTCAATTTTACGTGCATCACCAACTTGTGCAACAACATAAACACTGTATGGACTATCCGGTATTGGTTGATCATTAAACTTGATGCCAATACGATATTCACCAGGTTCAGTAACTTTATATGTTACATAGCCAGAACCATCTTTGCGATCATGAAAATCAATTTCTGCTTTTGATGGACCTTCAACTGAAACAGCAAGTGTTCCAGCTCCAGCTTCGCGTGTCCAAATATTGAATTCGCCTATAAATGATAATGATGATGAAATCAAATTGAATTCAATTTCTTTTCTTTTTTTGTAAAAAAAATTACAAACATTGTTCATTAACGGTACCGCGTTCTAGACCAGGACCACCAGCATGTACACGATGTGAACCGAAATCACTGAATGGGCCAACAGTAAATTGAAATGGTGATCCAGGTATATGAATATCTTTATGTCGTACAGATACTGTATGCATGCCCACTTCTTTCGGTACGAATTGTACAGCGTAAAGAAAATCCTGCAAATCCAATATTTCGGCATCATCTGTTTCACCGGATGGGGCCATGATTTTGGCAGCCAAATCAAATGCACTTGTTTGTGGTAATTTAAACGCTGTCACATTGATGATTGAAAAATGTGATCAAAATCAAAGCAAAAACATTGATTCTTACAACACTTACTTAATTTGCATTTGGAACCAACATCAGCGATGGCAGCAGCTTCACGTCCTAATTTAATATTATTCCGTTGCAAATTGGATCCAGCACCGGTTACTTTAATTGTGTATGGTGACCCAGTGACATGATGATCAGCAAATTTAACATTCAAAATATAAAATCCGGGTTCTGTCGGTTTATATGTGATTGCCAATTTTCCATTTCCTTTGTCCTGATATTGAAGATCAGCTTTAGATGGACCTTCAATAGAAACACTTAGACCACCATAGCCGGCATCACTTGTATCGATATTTATCTCATTTGCTGTATTAGTTTTGCCTTCTTTCAGACCTGCACCAGATATTTTAACATTTTTCGAATCACCAATGTCTCGTTCAAGCACATTAATCTTGAATGGTGATCCAGCCACATGATTACCCATTTTTTTGATATTCACAGCATGTTCACCATGTTCACGTGGTGTGAACGATATGCCCACTTGATTACTGCTCAATTTCTTTACGAAACATGGTTCCTCAAGACCGGATGGTGAGACAATACTGGCATTCAATGATTTAACATCTTTTTCAGTTACTTTCAATGGCACTTCACTTGACATTCCAATTGAAATTTGATTACGTTTACGACCTTCACCGACAATTTTTGCCGAAAATGGACTACCTTCGATTGGTTTCCCACCATAACTGACATTGATTTTATATTCACCAGGCGCTGGTGGTGTATAGGTAACATTAATACTACCATCTTTATTATCTTTACAGCTGATTTCAGCTTTGGATGGTCCTTCAACAGCAACTTGTAGATTACCAGCACCGCTGCCTTTTGTATAAACATTAAAAAAACAAGCATCACCGGCAACACCAGTTGATAGGCCACTGAAAACAAAAACAAAAAATAAAATAACCTGGATAAAATATTACACAATACACTTACGCTCCAAATGCTGTCACTAAACCTTTAGGTGTATTATCCACAATAAATTTATATGGACTACCTTTGATAGGCATATTATTATATTTGATTTGCATCTCATAATTTCCCTCCTGTTTTGGATCATATTTCACACAGATAGTACCATCATGATTATCAACAACTGTTGGTTTTGATACATCGGCCATTTTAGCTTGATATTTTTTTCCACTTTGTTTATAATTTCGACGTTTATTATATCTATGATTGTTATTATGATGATGATGATGATGATTATTGATGTAATCGGATGAATTTATGCAATAATATTCGGTATCGATTACCTAAATTTTTGAAAATGATTGAAAAAAAATTCAATTTTTATTTCTAGTTTTTTTCTCGATTGAAAAATCACAAAGAAAAAGTAAAACCTTTTTAAAGCCGATTACGGTTGTATGACCGGTTACGGCTGCATTCAATTCATCATCAATAATATAATTATTATTCAAATCATAATCAAAATTATCATTATCATTATCATCAACACAAATGAATGGTAATAATATTAATAAACGTGGTTCATTTGAATCGATAAGAAAATCTAATCGTGATTCAAAAACCCATTTTAAACTTTGTTCACAATCAATCCAATAGTTGAATTGAACATTGTTTGCTGTTAATGATGATTGTTTATTTTTCTGCGGTAATGATGATGATGATGATGATGATAATGTTCGTCGATAATTTGGATTGAAATGATGATGTATATTATATGGTATACGAATCATAAGATTATTACGATTTTTTGTATTATAATGATCATTAAATGTTTCGGTCAGATAATTAGTCATTTTAGAAATTTTTCTCTTGTTATTATTTATTTTTTTGACATCCAAAACAAATGAAATAAAATGAATATTTTTTTTTTGGTGACAAGAAATAAAAAACCAAAAATATTGAATCATGCCATAATGTAAAAATCAAATTATAAATGACAATGATTTTGCTGAAAATAGATTTATGTATTTTCGTGAAATAAAATGAAATGATTTCACATTTCTATATATTATTCCTACTAACACAAAGACATAGTGAACTTTTTTCTTCTTTTCCCCCATTATATTCAGGTGGAACATCATAGGAGAAAAAAAAGAGAATTTAGAGTAATTCATTTTTTTTGGATTTTCCATAATATTTTGTCCGTGTTCGTTTCATTTGGTCAGAATTTTTTTTCAATTTTTTCGCATCAAATTTTTTTTTCATCAACAATTTCAAGTTGTCATGATTAAAATTGTTTGAATATTCAAAAGATTAAATAAATAAATGACAAACAACATAATGATGACAAGCTTTATTAAATAAGTTTTTTTTGTGTGTGTTTTGATGTAAAAATTTATATTTATCTAAAAATAAATATAGCTATTTATGCCAAAATATTAAACAAACATCCATTTATTTGGAATAAAAAAAATTAGATGAATTTGATGAAAAAAAAACCGAATCCAAAACAGATGTTGTCGTCATCATCATCATCATTATCATTTGTATAAACATCATCAAACAATGATTCGGTTCAACAAATCTTCTTCTTGATGATGATGATGTTAATGATCAAAACAAAACTCATGACAAAAAAAAATACAAAATTCAAATCAAGATTCAAACACAAAAACAAAAGAAATAAAACAATTAACATATAAATTTTTTTTTATACGCTTCCCTGTTGTATTCATTATTATTATTACCATCATCATATAATTTTTTCCGTAAAATTTTCGAAACAAAAATAATTCTTAAAAATGTAAAATTATGATATCTATCTATCTATATTTATACAATGAATAAAAAGCCAGAATTAATAAGCAAACGAACCATGAAATTTTTAGATATAGCAAAAAGAGAGAGAGAGAGAGAGAGAGAGAGAGAGAGAGAGAGAGCAAGCACATTAATCTNNNNAAAGAGAAAAAAAAAAAAAACGAAAAATGAAATATTTAGAGATAGAAAAAAAAGAGAGAGAGAGAGAGAGAGAGAGAGAGAGAGAGAGAGAGAAATGAAAATAAAAACCACAAAAAAAATCAACATTAAATGGTTATATTTTATTATGATTCAGGTTATCATTACCAGACAAGGCTGAATCAGCATAAAAAAAATACGAATCTCTACGTACAACAAGAAAACATTCGACATAAAAGAGAGAGAGAGAGAGAGAAAGAAAGTTATTAGTAAAAATAGGAATTATGGATTATGGATAAATAGATTTTTTGTTTTCTTCGACAAAAATAGGCAAATGATTGACAATTTATTTATATGATTAGAAAATTCTTTGAAAAAATAATTGCTTAAATGAAGAATAAGTAGATGCTTTTTTCTGTTTTTTTGATTCACATACAATTTCGCAGAAACATCATAGAAGAAAAAACATCAGTAATCAAAATAGCTAAAAATAATCCATTCATTAGAGGGAAACGTCTAGAAAAAAATCATCATCATAATATTATGGGTGTTTGATTTTTTTTCACTCAATTCGTTTCGCAATTTTTGTTTCTTCATTGGACCGATAATAATGGTTAAGCCGTAAATGTATGAATTTGTAAATGCAAATTAAAAGTTTTTAACAAACATTCGTATCAAATTTTATACCATAAGCAAAAAAAAAAGTTTAGGGAAAAAATTGCAATTCTTTGCTTTATTTTTTTTTTGATAAACTACATAGACAAAAACATTCAATGAGCAAGAATTACAATGTACAGAAAAAAATAATCTCTGATTCCAAGCAAATCAGATCCAGAAAAATTTTATCAGAATCAAAAAAAAAAACTTACCTAATTCGAATCTTTATGTTAATCGTCGCCGTCTTGTTTCAAACAATCTTGTTTATCGATTGAGTGTGCCGTTTGTGGTTGTTGTTGTTGTTGTCGTTAATTGTCGACAAGACACTAAATTTGTCTTTTTTAAAGATGCGAACCAAGTGAAAAAAACGAATATGATGATGATAAACATTTCAAAGATGAATATGCATATTGAATATTTTGAATTGTGGGTTTTCCCTCCCAACTCTTGAATGATGTTGTGGTTGTTGATGTTCGGTTGGAATTCTATACACCCACCTCTACTTGTAATGATAATGACAAATAGACAAATAAGAGAAAAACACCCCGAAAAAAAAACTTTTTTTTTTTGTTGTTGAAATAAAATGAATGATGTCTTTGTTTTTTTTTCTTGTGATGATGTTCGGTTAGAATAATTTCATACATAATACACATAAAATGATGGCGGTTAAGTATGTAAAATTAATTTTTCAACGAAAAAAAAACAGCATTATATTTACAGCAACAGACATTAAAAATATCAGCCAAGCATCAAAGATTCGTCAACGAGAAAAATGAAGAAAACTATTTTGATAATAATGATGTTGAAGATCCACAAAGTTGAAGCTGAAAATTTTGGATAAAAATAAAAAAAAACGTCTAATAGACGATGATGAAGATGCATGGATAAAAAATTCATGAATTCTGTTGTTGGGCGTCATCAACATCAGAGTGGAATGCGTTTTTTTTTGCAATTAATCAATTTATTATTTAAATAAATTTAAAAAAAAATTGAAATGAAATTAGATTAAATTGGAAAGATTATTATGATTTAGAAAAATAACAAAAGGATTAATTTGTAATTTGATCTTCATTATTGATTTGAATTTCTTTACTATTGGTTGTTGCGAGAAAATATTTGCTCACTTTTTTATTACCATCAACATCATTATTATCCTTGAAATTGAATCGACCTAATTTGGACATTGATGTCCATGCACGATTATTATCAAATGGATTATTCAAACAAATTTTACGTTTGAATGGGAAAATTTTCGCCACTTTTGTTTCATTTATTATTGATTGATTCTCGATATTGTTGTTGTGAATACTTGTTGTTGTTTTTGTCGAAGTTGAGGGCGTCATCGTTGTCGTTTCAGTTCCAGGCAAATATGATTGTACAAATTTTTTCAATTCCTTCTCAGAATTGGAACGGATTCTTTTACGAAAATCAGTGAATACACTATACATAAGACTTTCATCATCATCATCATTGTTATCATCAGTGATTTTCTGTTGTATTTTATCATCAATTTTGAAATCTGAGAAAGGCAATGCTGATGGTTTTTTTGATGAATTTGATAATTCTGAAATCTCATTCAAACTAGTAGATTGAATATCGGCAATGTCGATTGATTCTAATGTTGATAAACTTTCATCGTGTTTTTGTTTTTCATCATTATTATACTGAGCTAATATTTGGTCATATTCATCATCATCGAATGAATCGAGCAAATTAAATTCTTGTAATAAATTCATTTGCTGAAAAGGATTTCGTATTGATAACTTGGCTTCCACATCTAGACCAGCGAAATTTTCCGATACAATGTAGGCTATGAAAGTATGTGATAATGTTGTTCGTAGCGAACAATGAACAATAATGTTACTTTCACTAAAATCTTTAGATTCTTCTTGAACTTGATTGGTAAATTTGATAAATTTTGCTGGCCAAATCCTAGAATTTCTATTTATTTCAGGTTGATTTTCTTTATCTTTGTTTTTTTGTTTACTTTCATTTTTTTTCTTGGTTTTTGCTTCTGTTTTGTTGGATAGATTCTTCTGCTTCTTTTGGTCCATAAATTCAACTGACTCATTTACTAGACTGTCAGTATCGTCATCAAAATCTGTCATAAGCAAAATGATTGATTGTGCATAATTACATTGTATCAATGACTGATCATTCAGTCGATTTATAGTTAAAATCTGATCACAATCTTCACAGCCAATAATTAGATGAAAATGATGTTTGTCCGGTTTTACAATGTTCGATATTGATAAAGATTGTCGCTGTATCCAACATTTGAATTCGATCTGAATTTTCAATTTGACATGATCTTCGATGACTGAACTAAATTTCAGGCTACAATCTGATTGTTTTTTCAAAATCAATTGGTATTTTGGAAGATTTTTTATCTTGAACATAAAATTTTATAAGTATAAAAAAATATAAAATTTTTCATGAATGCATATTTTAGAAAAATGTCACGGACTAACCTCTTCGATCAAAATTGATCCAAATGGTGGCTTACGTTTCAAATGAAATTCAATCTGACGAGGATTGGACTCGAGTAAACGAGCAAAACTCGTAAAACCATTTTCTACAAGTAATGATGAAAACGCATGGCCAATTTTTGGCAACTGTTTTGATACATATGGTGAATCGTACCACATTCGCGTCCAAAATGCTTGTAAAAGACGTGCCGCTGCAATGGATGTTTGTAAATGTAACCATGGTGGTTGCTGTTCAGTTTTTATCTTTGGTTTTTGCCGAAAAAAATAGACAAAAATTTCCATAAAACATTTGGAAACACGTTGACCTGATCTTATGATTCGCTGTAAATCATCAAATAGACATTGTTCAACTGTTAATGATTCAAAAGCTGCCTGTGCTAAGCAATTTGTTTTCATTGATCCCGTACGAAAACGATCCGAATATTTGAATCGAATTTTTTTGTTCAATTCATTAAGAAATCGCTTATCAGTAGTACGTAGTATAATATCCTGTGATAGTTCTGTGCAGCAACACATTTGCTCAAGTAATTGTTCTAATGAATATGAGGTACTAGTCCATTCAATCAGATGCTCCAATGTTGCTATTGAGATTGAATATCTTGTTGCTATTCGTGCCAATTGCGTTGGACCAATAAAATCGCCTTTGATTGAAATAAGACCAATTATTTGTAAACGTTTCATCTGTTGCCGACACCATTCTAATATAATGGGACCAGCACCGTCATAATCGCCTTTAGCAATAGAACTGTGATAATATTCAGGATTTTGAACAATACGGATAAACAAAAATGTTGAATAGATCCAATCAATAGCTAAATTAATGTTGCTGACAGTTTTCAATACAATTTCGATCATTAATTGTTCGATTAATGAACGAAATAAATTACTTTCAATTTCTTTTTCTTCATCCAATAATGTTTCATATTTTTCTTTTTTCTCTTTTTTTGTTACAATGATAGCTGTTGCATTTGTATCGAATTGCGGCCGTCCAGCTCTTCCTATATGAAACATTAAAAGAAAATGAAATCAATGAAACATTAGGATACCTACCAATCATCTGTAGTATGTGTGATAATTCATATTCAGTTTGTGAACCAGCTTCATATTGAACAGTATTCTTTATGACAACCAAATGAGCAGGTAAATTTACACCCATAGCCAATGATGATGTTGATACCAGAACCGGTATTACTGACAATGAAAACAAATGTTCCAATAAACGACGATCGGATGGATCCATACCGGAATGATAGAAAGCAACACCAGAAGCTAATGTAGCTTTAAGATCGGTATTTTTGAAACTTTCAAATTCAATTTTATACATGGCATCAATATCGTTTGCATTTTGGTTGATACGTGAAAGTTCCATAAATAATTGAACATGTTGTTGATGCGATTCAAAATATGTACTTTGCGATGTGGCCAAAATTTTGGCAGTAAATTCGGCCGAACGTCGAGTTGAACAGAAAACTAATGTCGGTTTTGACTCCGAATGTTCACGAATAAGACTTTCAAGTTTATAACTGATTTGTATGTCGAAACGATAGTCTGATGTTTGTGCAACACCTGTTGGTTCAATACCGATGACTAATTTTTTCAACTTTACGGGTCGCCAATCCGGTGGTACTCGTATTCCCAATGAATTACGCGGATCAAGCCAGACGGATAAATCTTCAACATTTGGTGCAGTGGCTGAAATAGCTATGAATCGTAATCGGCTTTTTTGTTTGAATTGATTACCTTCTGATTCATTAAGGACATTGATGATGTTATTACTATTATCACGAAGAAACTTCAATCGGGTGATAGTGGCTTCGAGAAAATCACCACGATTACGATCAGCAAGCATATGAATTTCGTCGATCATAATCAAATCCAAAAGACGAAGTAATGAACGACTTTCTGAATGTGTTCGTATGACTGAATCAAATTTTTCCGGAGTTGCCAATAAAATATTCACCTGTTCATGTTGTTCATTTAAATATTTTTGATAATTTTCAATTTCGGTGTCACCAGTCATCGCGAAACATTTTAGACCAAATTTCGCAAATCGTTGTTGCCATTCCTGGCATTTTTCTTCGACAATAGCTTTTAATGGTGCCAAATATAATGCATGTAATTGATCATATTGTGGACGTGATGGATTAAGCGATTCTAATCGTATCAATTCACTAACGATAGCCAACTCTAACAATACAGTTTTACCCGAAGCAGTTGGTGAACAAATTACTTTATATTTAAAATTAGTATAAATGATTACAACAAAAAAAATACACTTACCAAGACTTTTATCGGTTTCAATAATCAAATCAATTAGAGTAGATTGAATTTTATTGAAACTTTGAAATCTTGAGGAAAAAACATCGCGATATGGTTCAGGAAGCTCATCGACAAATTTCGTTGGAACTGTTGACGATAAATTATTCACATCACACATTTTTAAGATGAATTTATAGAAAATCAACAATAAATATCACACAGGAATGCGATGGTGAGTATAACGGAAAAAGATCGAACGTTTTAGAAACTAAAACGTTCGATTTTCCCGTACTGGTGTATATGAACGGAATATAATTCACGTGTTTTTATTTTATTTTATTTTGATTTTCAAATTTTTTTTGTTGTTTTCATTTTAAAATTTTTGATCATGTCTCAAAATGAAATTTCCAATCATTATTTTCAACGATTCATTAATCCTCTTCTTGTATGTTTTTGTTGATAATTTAATTTTTTAAGCAAAAGATTTTCAGTTTTTTTTTCTTTTTAATAGTCTGGTGCCTGTGCTGGTCTTGCTGTTGACGTAACATTGTTCCCAATTGATACGATAAAAACACGTTTACAAAGTGCCAATGGATTCTGGAAGTCTGGTGGATTTTCAAAAATCTATTCCGGTATCGGATCAACTGTTTCTGGTTCAGCACCTGGAGGTCTGAATGCAATAATGAATCTTAATTTGTTTCAACTTTTGATTTTTATAATTTATAGCTGCTTTATTTTTCATCACATATGAATCGGGCAAATATCTTTTGGGTCCAGAATGTTTACATTTGAATTCTCGTTATAATAGCCTTTCATATATGGTTTCAGCATCGATGGGTGAAATTGTAGCCTGTTTGGTGCGGGTTCCAGTCGAAGTTGTCAAACAACGTGCCCAAGCATTTCATATGAATAGTGTTCAAGTTTTACGACAAACATTAAGGCAATCCGGATGGCGTGGTCTTTATCGTGGTTATTCTAGTACAATTATGCGTGAAATTCCCTTTTCAATGATTCAATTTTCTCTTTGGGAACAAACAAAACAATCATGGGCTAGATATCAACAAATAACCACCGTTCATCCATATCAAGCAATGATTTGTGGGTCATTTTCCGGTGCAATAGCTGCATTTTTAACTACACCATTAGATGTTGCTAAAACACAGATTATGTTACAGGATTTTGTTGATGGCCATCAAATCAGTAACAGCAACAAATCTGTGATACCGATAAGATATTTCAATACGATACGATCAATATTTGATCGTAAAGGATTGAATGGATTATGGGCCGGTGCTGTTCCACGTGTAATTTGGATTTCAATTGGTGGTGCAATATTTCTCGGTGGCTATGAATGGATGCATACATCATTGGAAAAATGTTTTATTCAATAAAAATGATATATATCATACAAATATAGACAAAATTATACATGAATTATAATTTCATATCAAATCAATGTGATCTCTTATTTTTAGACAAAAAATAAAATAAAATTACAATTTTCATAGTCAAATTTGTTCATTGTTTCGATGTATAAAATTCAGTGATGGATGTCGTACGAATTGGACGTGCCATCAATGTTACCGGTGTACAATCGGTAATTTCAACATCTAGAAAATCTCCAATCATATATTGATTCGATAATGATTTCGGTATGATCACTTTTTGATTTGCTTCATTACGGCCATATAATTCATCTGGTGATTTTTTACTTACACCTTCAACAAGTATTAATTGTCTTTGCCCAATCAATTGTCGATTCATTTGGGTGGATAATTGTCGATAAACTTGATTTAATTCAATTAATCGTTGAATTTTGATTGATTGGGGTACATTATCATTGAGATGATGATATGCATAGGTTTTATCACGCATACTATATGCAAATATATAGGCAATATAATAGCCAACATTCTCGACGATATCAACTGTTTGTCTATGATCATCATCGGTTTCATCGCAAAAACCACAGATAAAATCACTACTAAGACCACATTCCGGTATATAATCCCGTATTCGTTTGACTAGTTGAAGATAAGCTTCACGTGTATAACCACGTCGCATTCTTTCCAAAACAAAATTTGATCCACTTTGAACTGGTAGATGTAATCCTTTAGCGATATTCGGATGATCAGCAATTACATGTAGAACTGAATCATTAAAATCTTTTGGATGTGGTGATGTAAAACGAATTCGTACATTACGATTCAAATGGGCAACCTGTCGTAATAGTTCATCAAAACCGGCACCTCCAGATTTTGATCGATATATTGTTTTGAAACCATCAGCTAATCGTGATTCGTTTGAGTGATGATTTTGGTCATTACTATAATCACGATAACTATTTACATTTTGTCCGAGCAATATTATTTCTTTGCAACCAGAAATAATTTTGTTATCGACTTCTTTCAATATCGAATCAATTGATCGGGAACGTTCACGACCACGCGTAAATGGTACAATACAATATGAACACATGTTATTGCAACCACGTGTTATGGATACATATGCAGAATGTTTCGATTGATTCCGTGGTATTATATCGGCATATGTTTCATCCATTGATAACAATACATTGATAGCACTTTGACCCTGTAACGAATTGATGGCCAATAATTTTGGCAAATGTCGATAGCTATCTGGTCCAGCAACAACATCAATCGTAGGTAATTGCTCGACAATTTTCGCTTTTAATCGTTCAGCCATACAGCCAAGTAGACCAAATTTTCTCAATCGACCCATACGTTTTGCCTTGTCCAGATCATATAATTTTGACCATACTTTGTTTTCGGCATTTTCACGTATGGCACATGTCATTAGGAAAACAATATCCGCATCATCAATATTATTGACAATTTTATAATCATATTGTTCGAGGATACTGGCAGCAATTTCTGTATCATTGACATTCATTTGACAACCATAGGTTTTGATAAAAACTATTTCAATAGATTAGTCATTAAATCGATCAAATATTTTCTACTTTTTCACATACCTTTACTATCATTTCCCGATAAGCTTTCGGGTTCAATATATGGTTCATTATCCCATTTCATTACAAATGGTTTTTGTTTCAATGCAGTGGATTGACGTAAAAAATGCTGAAAATCAGGTCCATCTATTGTTTTTGGATTTGCTTTTTTCGAACAAAAATTTCTAACAAATATTATATGTCGACATTGTTGAATAAATCTAAAATTCAACATCATCATCATCCTTAATCAATCAAAAATTTTTCAAAAAAAAACAAAAAAAAATCACATGTTATTGCTATGATGATGGCTATTTAGACTCAACTAGGATTTGCGTATTATACACGGTATACGCGCGTTTAAATCGAATTTGAAATGGAATAGTTCTTTTCGTTTTTTTTTAATAATTTTCATCAAATGTTAATCTTGATGAATTATCGAATGAGAGTGAGAGTAGTGATAAAAACCTGACTCGAATGAATTCTGTTTGAATCCCATCACCATTATTCATTCATTCATTCATTCATTCAACATTGGCTTGAGTTGATTTGAATGAATGAAGTGAATTGAATTGAAATGACTAAAGTCATTAATAATTTTGGGTAGGATATCCTAACCGTTTTTCTGCTTTTTTTTGCTTTTGGTATATCATATTCAATGAGAAACGTTTTTTTTTGTTGTTGCTGTTATTTCAAAATCCATATGTATGACAGCTGTCGCACAACAGTATATTTTTTTCATTTCATTTCATTTTCGGTTAACAATTGAATTTTTTTGTTTGTTTGTTTGTTTGTATCTGGATTTGTAGTTATAAATACAATAACAAACTGTTACAAAGTTTTTTTTGGAAACCCAAAAAAATGGTCAATTTTTTGTTGACCACATGGGCCAATCTTGTTTTTATTTAAAACTTTTTTCCCTGATATTTTCTGAATCCAAAAATGTTTCGATTATAATTATAAACACACACATGCATATAACGTTTTGATTTTTATCGAATCAAAAATCAATTGATTCAACTGTTGAATGAATTAAAATTAAATTAGTAATTATTGTTTTCAATAAATTATGGTCAGCCAATCAATATTTTTTGTTTAATAAGCATCATATTTCGAAATAATTCAATTATTGGATTAAATAAATTATTTTTACACTACTTAATCACCAAATCTCTCTCTTTCTCTAAATGAACATTGATTATTCGAAAAACCAGAGGCGAAACACACACACAATCATTTATTAATCAATTTAAATGTCTTTGTTGAATAAGTCTTGTGCAATCAATATTAATAATATGCCATAAGGATTTGGTCCGAAAAAAAAGTGAATACCGCATCAAACCAAATTGTATTGCTGCTATATTAATTTTTTTTTCCGAATAACCCAAACACTTTTATATATAGTATATATTTGCAGTCATCGACATTTGATTACGTAAACACATCACTATTTCACAACAAGATTTGGGCGCATCCGTTGTCATGATGGTGGTGGTTGTTGTTGTGATGTATAAAAGTAGTAGTAAGTTTCCGTTTCCCCAAAAAAACAAACAAACAAACAGCTTTCTTCAACTAACATACATCTATATGGATTTAAAAATTTCTTGGAAAATTTTCATTATATTGAACCACATCAATTTTATTTTTACTTTAGAAATATCATTTTTGTTGCTAGCATCTTTCTGAATCTTTCTATATTTTTTTTCAAATGACTCAACACAGCAACTCATTTTTGATTGGCAAGATTTTTTTTTCTATCCTACATTCCAGAACATTATTATTTGTTTCCAGTGTTTCCGATGTTTGGTCTGAAAAAAAAACAGAGCATACTCAAATAAAATACATCCATACAATTCTATAGTAAGAATTATATAAATATTCTTACTGTATGCCTATGTTGTTGTTGTTGTTGTTTTCTCTTTCCAAACAAAGGAAATGAAATTTTTCATTTTATAAAGAATTTTTTTTTTCATTTGGATTGCTTTTTTTTGAAATAAAAAAGAATTGTAAAGTGAAAAAAAAAACATTTCGTTTAAATGATTATTTACATTAAGAAAATAATAATAATAATAATAATAATAATGATGATCATCCGCATCATTACAAAGCCCAAAAGTAAAGCATCCGTTCAAAAAGTATAGAGTAAAAAAAAAATTTCAAAAGAATTTTTCAGAAACATCACTTTCAAAACTATGACGCATTCATAGCATTTCAAAAAAAAAGTTTGGCCATTCGATTCTATAGTGGGTGGGGTTTTTTCAATTCGGAATGATGGTGGATCAACTTCTAGGACCTAGAATGATATTACATATATATAGAGGCCATTTTGGTTTGTCACTAACAAGGACCAAACTTGGGGCCAAAAAACTCAACAGATTTTTTTTTCTTTTTTGGCCAAACAGAAAAATAAAATTGGATGATGGACTAAGCCGAAACTAGTGGTATTATGAAATCAAATCAGAAAAAAATAACAGAGACCATGTGGGCCATTTTGTTGCCTGGTACCCACACACACACACACCCAGCAACCTGGTAAAGGTCTTGTTTTTGGATATTATCAATGTTTCAAACCGAATCAACAACGGGAGATAAAAATATTGATTTTTATTCAACAACCAAACTAATCACAAAAGGGGCCAAAAAAAATGGATGGGATAAAATATTCTATGTGTGAATCATCAAACAACAAAGCTACTATAGAATTAGTTAAACATCTATTAAGCTAGGAACAGCAATTGAGTGAAGAAATAAAAACAAAAAATTTATTCAAAATTCTGAAAACCATTTCGGTTTTGTTGTTGTTGTTGTTGATCGTGGTTGGCCAGAAAACTATTGTTCCATTAGTATGGTCGGTTGATTTTGAATATTAGAAAAAAAAATCTGGATGCAGTAGTGGCATAGTACGATTAATGTAGGATGTTCGAATTTGATGATAATAAGTATTTTGGTATCCAAATGGTCGATGAGTGCGCGCGCTTATTTTTGCTTCAAATTGAAAAAAAAGACCAGGAATGAATCCGTTGTTCCTGATATTTCATATTGATGCTGCTGCTTTTTTTTCATTTTATCCCGCGAATTTTTTGCTCAATGATTTTTTTTTTTTTGCTATGTTTCAGGGGTTTGGATGATGATTCAGTTGCTGTTGGTTACTATATCCAACTAAATTGTCTGGTTATATTTTTTTCAGATCTGTTTTTTTCTTTTGGTTGTTGGATGCGCACATCTCTTTCTCATCCTACATTTTAAGAATCAAAAAAAAAATTCCGTTTGATTCAGGATTTTGTTTCTGGAACCTGATATTTTGCTTTACTTGCTTGTTGGCTGATGAACCAGAGAAATACAAGCACCACTATCAACCAACAAAGAAACATTTTGTTATAAAAAAAAAAGAAAAAGAAAAAACATTTGCTTTTTCTTCATATCAAAAACATCCACCATTAATGTTTTCCTTGTTTGTTAATTTGTTTGTTTGTCTCTATCAAATGGTCTGAAGAAAATGCAAAATACATCATTTTATCATCATAAACATCAATGTTTTATTTGTTGAATTTTATCGATTAAATTGAACAATTATTATCAACATCTTAGTAAGTTCAGATTCACGTTTGTTTGAATCTTGAAAAAAAATTCAAATTCCTATTCAGTTCATCATTTTTCAAAGAAGAAAGCAAAAAAAAGTCCTGAACTTGAAAAAAAATTCATTTTGATTATTTCAAAAAAAAAACAATTCTCTTCTTTTATTTGGGTAAGTTTTTTGTTTGTTAGTTTTTGATTGAAAAAAGAAATGGAACCTTGTGTGAAATTTCAACAGTTATGGCTATTTATTTATTTATTTGTATGAATGTTAACTTTTAAAATGATTTTTAAAACATTACCCATGGGTTTTCTTTTACGCTCGATGAATTTGTTTATTGTTTCAACAAATCTAAATCTTTAGGTTTTTTGTTGTTGTTGTTGTTTAGATGAAAATTCTGTGATTCTGATATTCTTTTCTTAGATTCAAACAATACATTCAAAAGTGAAATGAAATGGAACAAAAAAACAACAACAACAATATAATGATGATGATGGCTTTGAATTAGTTTTTTTCTCCAGGAAAAAAAAATCCATATTGAAAAAGAAAATAATGGAAATTTTGAAGATGCGCTTCATTAATGAACAAAGCTTTGACAAAAATAGATTTATTTTCTATGGAAAAACTATGGACTTTTTTTTAACGGTTGATTGATTGATCAAATACTAAATAATTTCACTTTGTCACATTTGATCATTCATTGAATAATAAAGTGTTAACAAAAAAAAAAAATCTAATTGATTTTGTTCTGAGTAAAAAAGAAATTTCGAAATTTGTCATGATTTTTTTTCTGTCTTTTTTTCATATAGATAGATCAATGGTTGATGATGACTTTTAGAACAGGTAAACAAATCAAAAATTGATTATTATAAATTGAATCATCATCATCATCATCATCATTATTCAATGATGTATTCGTGAGTTATCATCATACATTAAATTTAATTTTTCAAATGATAATAATACAAAATTTGATTTGATGACATTGTTGATATTATCATTAATCCTGAACAGTTTCAACAGTTTTTATTTTACTCTTTTTTTATTTTTATTTTTGTTGTTGTTGAAAAAAATGTCTTTAAAAAATCACCTATGAGAATGATGAAAAACAGCGTTTTTTTCATTCATTTCTTAATTTAGTTTTTTTGTTTGTTGTTATGACATTAATACGAAAAAAAAACATTTGGATTGAATTACGTAGATTTATTCTTTTCTTTTTCTTTTTCTTTAACATCGTTTCGATTTCATTGAAATCAATGGATATTGAATTAAATTTAAGATTGAATTAATTTGATTTTTTTTTTTTTTTGTTAATTTTATTTCAATTAGAATTTGTTCATAAAATTAAGCTGAAACATGATGTTTTTAAGTTGTTATATAAACTAGATTAATTGATTTATCGATAGAAAAAAAATCAATTAATTTTGGCTATATGATTAAACCACAAATAATACAATCAATACTTTTTGTGTGTGTGTGTGATTGATAAATATTGATCATCATCATCATGATGATTGGATTGAAAAAAAAGAAAAATTCAAAAGAAAAATGTTGTTTTCATCAGACTGAAAAAAAGGGGCCAATGGCCATAAATCAAACTGAATTTTGTTTTTGTTTTTTTTTTCGATTCTTTGTTAATGATAATGATGATGATGATGATGATGATGGCAGCATAGGAATAATTCTTGTTTTTCTATACCAACACATATTTTTATGTTTAGTTTTATCAAATGTCAGATTCTATTTTTAGCATCTTATAGCAAAGTCAGAAAAAACTAGGCCAATTGAATAATACGATTTGATTCTGCTCTCACCCAAGTTCTTAGTTTTGGTAAACTTTATGTTGTTGTTGTTGTTGTTGTTGTTGTTGTTGGAAAGATTTTTCTGAATCCCTAGTATTGGATCATCATTATCTTTGTCCATTTTTTGAGTATTAAGAGAATAAAAAAAAACATCCAAAAATTTTAAATTGCCGATGATAATCGAAGCGAAAAAAATATCTATATATAAACTCACTGTTATTAAATGTCCAAAAGTTTTTTGAAATTCTTTTCAAAAAAAAAAATATCTGTATCAAGATCCAATGATTCATACATACATACACACACTCTAAGTGAAAAGAGGGGAGATAAATAGGAAAAAAATGAGGGAAAAAAAAAGTTACTGAACATCATTTATTGAATGAATAACCAACAATAACAAGAAAAAAAACATCATCTGCAAACTATATAGAAAAAAAAACATTACGATGCGGATCTATTGATGTTAGTTGGTTGATGTGTGTGTGTGTGTGTGTGTATGGTGTCTGTGTGTTGTGATGACTTGTAGTGAATTGAGATTGCTTGACTGTCCAAAAAAAAAAAAAATTTGTTACAATACAAATTCAATCTCTATCTCTGTGTGTGTAAGCGGGTATCAACCTCATTGAAATCGTAAAAAGCATAAAAATTCATAGATATACTTCTGGTCCAAAAAAAAATGAAAATAAACATACAAGAATTTCAATGATGATTATTCTTTATTAATGTAATTTGAAGCTGATAATTAAATTTGATGAATTCAAGATTTGTTCTATAAATCCAATAAAATTGACTACCGTTAGAAACAACGAGGAGAGAGAGTGAAAAATTAGCCATCATAACAAATCTGCAACTTATTAAATAATGATGATTATGATAATAATAATTTATATGGACAAAAGAGAAAAAAACCAGAACAAAACAAAACCAATTGTGTAAAGATCATCATTATTATTATTAGTAAGAGTTTATGACTTCGTTATTGCGGTTATTATTATCACGGATATATCATGTTGTTATTACTTTTGTTGTTGCTGTTGTTTTTTTTTTCGTTTGGCTTGAATTGGTTTGGCGAACAATGATTTTTTTCCAACATATTTTCCTCATACTGCATTTTTTTCTGATAATAATTGTTTTTTATCATTGTTAATGATGATTTTGTTTGAAATAGATCATTATCATATACATTCAGCAACCAGAACGACAAGAATGCCTGTTTGATATAATTATTTAAAAATCCATTTGATTGGATTGATTTGAAATTTTTATCAAAACTACTGAATTACGGAATTTATGAACAAATTTATAAATTGATTTTTTTTTCAACCTGACTAAATGATTTTTATTGAAACAGAAAGATATTTGAATAAATTTTCATTGAATACCATAACAACATAGTTGACTGATCACGATGATGATAATGATGTAATATTTTTTTTTGTTTTTGTTGCTGTTTTTGTTTTTCATATCTCCATCATTATCATTATTAACATAATGGTCATAGGTCATCATTCTATTCTGAATAACCAATAAAAGATTATATCGCTTTATCTGATTGTAGAGTTATAAAAACTATAGTTATCTTCATCACTTTAATTTCTATTATCGTTATGGAAAAAAAATTATGATGAGAAAAACTCAACTCAAGTTTCACTTCAATTATGGAATTCTTTAAAACTTTAAAATTTCATTATCTTTTCATTCATCATCACAATGATTACATCATTGTTCTTTTCTTTTCTTTTTTCTCTCTCTCGATGTTAATGACCTTAAACACACTGAAGATCATCATCATCATTATCAATAGCTTCTATTATATTTCTTCAACTTTGAACTTTCAACCATGTAACAGCTAATAATAATAACCGGATGATTATGATGAACCTGTTGTTTAAATTCAATGGCTTTAAATTCACACACACACACTTTTTACTTTACTATTTTATCATCAATTTTATTGTTGTCAGAAAATTACTTTTTCGTTGTTGTTGTTGTTGTTCAAGTAAAGCTAATAATTTGTTATATAATGATGATTACTATTTTCACTGCGAATAATGATGTTGTTGTTTGTTGTTATTCAAATGACAATAAATTCTTTACTTTTAGTTAATAATGGGTGAAAAAAGAAAAGAAAAGGTAGTTGTTAACTAAATGAATGATGCGATTCAAACAAAACAAAAAAATTTACAAAAAAAATGATAATAAGTAATTTTGTTGTTGTTGTTTTTGAAACAATATATCTTTATCATCAAAATTGATACAAAATTAATGATTCAATTTTGATAATGCAATTTTTTTGTTTGAATTTTAAATTAAAAATTTTTTTTTTAATGAACATTTTTGTTTCTTTTTTTCAATTTTCTTTTCCAAACATGAATGTCGTCATCATTATCGATTCAATATCATCATTGTTTCTCAACAAACCAACTACATGATGTGACAATATAAACATAAACAGGTGTGTCACCCTTATGCCATGAACCATCACCTTTATATGTTACCTTAATCTTTGATGTGGAACCTGTTTTTTTTTCTGTTTCACTTATTTTATGGTTCAATCAATGTGTGTTTGTTTGTATCAACCTGTGTGATTCATCAGAAAAATAAAACCTCTTCAACTTTATTCGAATCAACCAACCGCACAGAAGTCATCGTACCATTTCATTGTCAAACATATTTGATTAACTTTGAATCTTTGATTCAAAAAAAAAATAAATAAAAAATAAATAAATCAAAGTGAAATCAACAACAACATAATTTCATCTCGGTGCTTGTGAAAAATTCAGAAGAATCAACAGAAATGTCAACATTTAATAATCTATTTCCGAATAATTCGGATAACAATTGGAATAATAATTGGAATAATTTGTTTAATCGTACGGCGACAACAATCGGACATGGAATAAAATTCGGCGGTAATGAAAGTGATTCATTACCATTTGATCAAACTCCGACCGAAATTCGACAATATTTGCTCATATTTCGTCTTGTATTACTTGGTATCGGTACATTTGATACAATATTATTATTGGCTATTTATATTAAATGTACCGGTATTATAAATAATTGTTTGGGCGTTTATGTAGCCAATATTAGTATTGCCGCCTTGATCGATATGATCGATGCTGCTATTTGGTCAATCAATGAATTTGGTTATAAAATTGAAGATTTTAATCTACCATGGTGGGTGGAAAAAATGTCCAAACTACCACAATTCGGCCTGCCAACAATATCATTATTCTTTTTGCTATTAATAATTGATCGATTTTTTGCCACCTGTTTCTCAAACTGCCATAAAGGATGTTATGGTTCGAAAATAAATGCTATATTTATTATAATACTAATATGGTTAGGGTCATTTTTTATGACATTCATATTGGTATTCAAAGATATGCTATTCGAACATGATAAACTTTATGAATTGCTACGTTTCTTAATCTCATATGTTGGCCCATTTGGAATCAAATTATTATTAATATTAATTCTATTCGCTAAACGTAAAGTTGTACCGGATAGTGAACAAAGCCAGGCATTCATACATCGACAACGTGAATCATTATATTATGTATTGACTATTGTAACATTACATCTTTTATTTAGTGCACCATATTATGCAACACAAATTAATTATTATTTTCATCTAGTACAAATTCGTATCGATGAATGGATTATCTGGCTTTTATATGCTCTAAGCGAATTACCGCTTATGCTCAATCCAATATTTGTCCTATCTATTGATCCAGATTTTCGAGATTCACTTATTTTTGTCTGTACTTGTTCATCACGTAATCGTAGAGATATGATTGATCTTTGTGATGATCATGCCGAATCACAACCATTAGCACCGATGGCAACATCACCTGTCACTGAAGAAAAAGAACATCTTGATGAAGCTGAATCATAAAATCATATTAATGATATAAAAAATTTTAATTTTTAAAAACAAATTTCAAATAATTGATTGAAAAAAAATTCAAAACAAAAATTGCTCATCATTCGGACCAACAATCATCATCATCATCATCAAACAATAATCCAATTTCGCATGTAATATTCAGTTTTTCTAATCATCAATTTTCGCACATCTATGATAATAATCGATTTTTTTAGTTTACTTCAATATCATCATTTATTCAAACAATCACATTGTATTTGCATCTTTTATTTCGATCATACACACAAAAATGACTAGTGAATTGAGAATCTATTTGGATAAATCTTGGGCAAGTTTTCTAATTTTGTTTCAAAAAAATTTATCAAATTTAATTTTTCTTTCTTTGTTTTTGCAACAGATTTTAAATACTCAAATCTTTTTTTTTAAAAAAAATTAGTCTCATTTGATCACATGTGTATCACACAGCAATCAAATCATTTTTTGTTGTTTTTTTCATCTTCTTCTTTGAATCCAGAAAACAAACAAACGAAAAAAATATTTATCGTCCAATTCGCATCCTTCGTATTATCATAAATTTCATTGTGTCACAAATATATACGTAAATAATCAATTCATATTGCCCAATTTTATCATCATCATAATAATCATCATTCACCGAAACAAAACAAACCAAATCCACCCATATTTGATTTAATCATAAATTCTGTTTGATTTATTGATAATTGATAATTTCCACATAAAAATTTTGTTCTCCATCTACAAACCACCACCATTATTATTATTATTTGTTCATGTTCAGATTTCAAATTTCAAATAAATAAAAATAATTAAAAAATTTTAAAATTGAAAATAACAACAACAAAAAACGACAATAACAACAACAACTAATTTACCTCAGCAGTAACAGGAATATTAGGTGGAAATTGATATTGATTTAGTGTTTTTTTTTTATATTATTATTTTCATTTTGGTTCCTTTCTTTTTTTTCTTTTCTTATTTATTCTTGTTTCTTTGTTCATAAAAATCGAGATTAGATCATCAAGTTATGAAACAAACAAACAAACAAAAAAATGATTTTAATCTTTTTGTTTGTTTTGTTTCGAATCGAAAGATAATAATGTTCAATTATTGTTCTTGTTTTCACTGTTTTTTTTTGGAATGATTATGATCTCTGTATAACATCTGTATTGATGTTTTTTTTTTAATTTGATGTCATCGCGCCCACTTTATATATGTCAACAGGAGCTGATGATTATTTTGGATTCGATAAAATCTTATAAACATTTTTTTTTGGTTTGGTTTGGCTACAAAAAACAACGAAAAAACGAAAACAACATTTCGATCAAAAAATATCAAAAATTTATTATCTATTATTTTATTCATTCATTCATTTTTCCCATTGTTTGATACGAAAACAAAAAACAAATTTTTTTAAATAATTCATAATCATAAACACATACCATACACAATCATCATAAATCAATAATACTTAATCAAACATTATTAATATATTATCCATTGAACACCAAACAAACAAAAAACAAAATTCTATGTTGTAAATATAATACGTTATTACAATTATTGAATATCATCATCATTTGTTTCATTTTCAATTCATCATTTGGCCAAAAAAAAAACGAAAAAAATACGAAAAAAAAAATTTTCAAAGATATAAAAAATTCATCCTTCAATCAATCAGTCTAGGTATCCATCTATCTATCTATCTGATAGTATAAAAAATAATATATAGCTTTCATAAATATCAAACAAACACACACACACACACAGACATCAAGATGATAATGTTATAAACAACATCACATTATATAAGATTCATTATCAACCAAAAAAACAAAATATGAAATCACCACACCTAATAATGTGTAAAAGGAGAACTTTAAAAAAAAAAATCATTATTTTATGATGATTTCATCACCAATCATCATTTCCTTGATGATGATTGGTAATGGTTATGAAATCAAAATATAAAAAATATAAATAATCATTAATGAATTCAACAAACAAAATGAAAGAAAAAAAGTACACCACAGACAGCAAAAACATTCAAAATATATAATAATAAGTATTTTATCAAACTCTTTTATTATTATTATTATTATTATTAGTAATTTTAAAAAAATAATCACAGATTTTTTTCTATAAAAAAATGATAATAATAATAATAATTTCGGTTTTTTACATCTGCAACTATTACAACAACGTTCTTTTCGTTCTTTTTTTTTCTTTGATTTCGTTGATTTTCTATTCATATATTTACACACACAAACAGACATATTTTTAATCAATTTTTTTTAAGTTTAATTTTTTTTCTTCACATTGTTTTTCAGCCCATCAATCAAATCATCGAACATAACACACACATGGTTAATTGTAGTAAAATTTCAATTTCAATGTGTGTGTGTGTTTGTCTGGTCTGGTCTGGACCAAATCAATTATAATTTTTTTTCCCCGTTGTTGGAATTTTCACATCCATCATCATCATCATATGAGCATCCATTTTTACACACACACACACACCCATTATTATGTTTTTTTTTTTTTTTTGAACAAAAACAACAACAACCACAAAAAATTTATCATTACCACATTTTCAACAACAAACGATCATCCATTCATTTATCATTGGAAATCTGGAAATGGAAAAAAAAATATTACGCACAAACACAACGAAACCATCAACAACAGCAACAACAAGTTAACAAGTTGAACAACAAAAAAAATCGAACAAATCAATATATAATATAACCCGAGCAACGACGAACAAACATTCACATACCGAAATTTTAAAAATTATTATTATTATTATTATTATTATTATGAATTTTCGAAATAAAAATCCAGTATTGTAATATTGAATGATTAATGATGATGATGATGATGATAATGGTTAGTTTTTCTATATTTGATCAAATCATCTGATTTTTTTTCGGATCATTTATCTATCTATCTATCGATCTAAGGTATTTTTCCATTGATTATATACTGATATAGGCAAACAAACAAACAAACAATCGATGTTGATCTGTTGCTCTTAAATGATAATGATTTATTTATTCAACAATCATCATCATTTGTTCAACAGTTGCTTATAACAGAAATATATCCGTATTCGCCTTGTTTAACAAAAAAAAATCAATGATACTGATGTTTTCTTCTCTTTTGTTTGTACTAATAATAATGTGTGTTTGTGTGTTTAAATTGGAACAACAACAACAACAACAACAAAAAGGAAAAAGATTTGATAATGATAAACGATAAATAACTTGATCATTTTTTTTCTAACAGGGAAATATTCCAACAACAAAAAAAACATCTATGAATTAGAAATTGGAACCCTACATTGCCGGTAATTTTATTTCTTGAATTCAAAGAAAGAAAATTTTATTACTCAAATAAAATAGGTGTGTTTGAAAATGGAATTTTGAAAGTAGAAAAAAAAATTTTGCGATCCAAAAAAAAAAAGTATTAATTATCATATCAATCACATCGAACTAACATCCTTATCAACACTTTTTGATAACCAAGCAAAAGTGATTCTGATTTTTTTTTGTGTTGAACAACAAAATTAACACCTCATCATCATCACCATAATGATTTTTTTTTCTTTTTATTGGTTAATGGGAAAAAAAATTTACACACACATAACTTTATGGATATCATCTTTTGATCATTTTATTTTCGCTGTTGATAAATCACCATCATCTGGCTGTAAACATCATTTCTGCTGACACACACACACACACACAGACACAGACAGGGACTAGCCCAGAAAAAAATGAAATTTTTTTTTCTGATTTGAATTCATTTTTTAATCAAGAATTTTTTATTTTCAAAAAAATAAAAAATGAAAATAAAAAATTTTGATTACAATCAATGATTGTTTTATCATAGCAAATAGTTTGGGCGTTTTAATTTCACGTTGCAAACAGAAAAATCAAAATCAAAATCAAAATCGATGAAATGTTTTGATTTTTCTTCATATTTTATCAAAATCAATGAGAAAAACACAATGTTTTTTTTTTTGATTCTTTTTGGATTGCAATCTAAATCGTTGTTATAAGTATATAATAAAGAACAAAATCTTATCAAATTTGAAGAATTTGATTGATGATTTGTAAGAAATCAATTCATATTCAATCAAGAAACAAAAATGTATTGGTTCAATGTCGACACGATCGATTCCTATCATCATATTTTTTGTTTCATTCGGTGTCATATATATAACCACACACACAAACATGACAATGACCGAGACCGATTTTTTTTTTGTTTCAAGAAAAAAAAAACAATTGTTTTTGTTTTTGTCGATATTGATCCATTCTGTGTTGTTGTCGCTTTAAAGATCACTATATAATCCTTTCCTGATATTGGAACATTTGAATTTTTTTTGTTGTTTGTAAAATTGATGCAAAAGAAAAACTACATGAAACGGATACGCCCAAACAAAAAACAAAATGTAGATTTGTTGATGTTGTCATATTGTCTCTATGTTGTTACTTGATTAATCGACCAATCCTTTTGCATAACAGTCACAACAACAATAATGATAAATAATGATGCTATTTGATAATAATAATAATGATGGCTAAAATAATGAATGAAAAAAAAGTAAAATTCTGCTTTAAAATTGATGCAACAATTGATGATGATGATAATGATGGATATTAAACAACAACAACAACAACAACAAAAGAAAAAAAAAGTATTTCAAAGTCAAGTTCGCCAAATTTCTAATCACATTTTTTTTGTTTTGTTTTGTTTTGGATCAATTGATTCGATTTGATTTGATTTGATTGATTGATCATTATAACAATGATGTGTGTGTGTGTGTGTGATATATTCTATTCTCTCCATTATCCATTTATAATAATAATGATAAAAATCAATATATAGGCACGATAGATATTCATATCACCATAGCCACCACACCAATATTGATTTGATTTTTTTTGTATATGATATATATAAATGTGTGGTGTGTTACCCAATCATCAATATTACTTTAAACAATAATGTAATGATAATGATGATGATAATGATGATTGTCATCATCATCATCATCATTCAATTTGATTCAATCTATTCATTCTGTTGTTGTTGTTGCCGTTGTTTCTTCATCGATCTACAATCGATCTCAATCTAAATTAAAAATAAAAAATAAAAATAAAAAAGAATGTCGACATGTTTGACCTATAAGACATTGTTTAAATTATATTTTATTATTATTTTCTATTCAATATATTCAATCTAATAATAATCATTATTGTATATTGAAAAGAATTAAATGACAACGAATAAAAAGAAAACATTTGAAAAAATCAGATGAATTTTTTTTTTCCTGAAAAAAAACCAAATACATTGTCATTTTTTTAAAGCAAGCAAATAATCATAAGATTTTTTTTCAAATTGATAATTATTGTTTGTTTTTATTTTCTTAATATCCTGATCTGACCTGATCAAATTAAGTAATTTCAATTAATTAATGTCAACAATTATAAATAAATATGTTGTTGATTAACAATTATCAAAATGATAATGATTTTATTTGAATCATAAAATATGTTTCAAATATGATGACAATCACATGTAATGACATTAAAATTGTTAAGAAAATATACATATTTTTCCTAGATTGATTGAATGTTGTTGTTATTATTACATAACAATCATCATCATATGAGTATGTCCTTTCCTTTCCTCATCATAATCATTTGTTTCATATTTTAATGATTGTTGTTGTTGTTGTGGTTGTTTTTTTAAATATTTGTCATGCATCATTATTCATTTCAATAGGGAATATAATATTAATAATAATTGAACAATAATCTACCGAAAACCATGAGATCAATCAATCAATCAATCAAAAAAAAAATTGTTATTGTTTTTCAATTGCGTGATTAATGATAATGATGATTATTAAATTGAAAAGAAATGTAAAAAAAATAAAATTTTATGTAAAACACTGTTTCGGAAACAATTTCCATTCAATTTTCATCATCACATTGTCATTGTTTAGTATATGGGAAAAAAAGAAAAAGAAAATTATAATAAATTTTCAAAAAAAAACACCGAAGTACGAAATTGATCCAATTTTCAAGATCGATTCAATATCATGATGACGTGATAATATTTTTGATCTTTTTGATGTTTGTTTGTTTGTTTGTTTTTCCTACATTTAATCAATCAATGATCGATCAATGGATGTTTTGTTATTTATTCGGCAAATACATCTATTGTATTATCAATATATCATATTGTCGATGTGATCGACACGTCCGATCAATCAATCAATCAATCAATCAGTCAATGGAGAAACAAATTTCAACGATATTTGATATGTATGTTGATTATCATCATTATCATGATGATGATGATGATAAAAGCAGAGGTTAGTGCTTACTAAGTGGGTGGACCACATTCACACAACAACAACAACAACAACAAAAAATACTACCGATTTCGGTCAATTGTTATGGTTTTGAAACAAGGAAAATTGTTTTTTAAATTTTTTTTTCAAAAGAAAACAAAAAAATCATTGTTTCATCAAAAAGAAACCAAAATTATTATCGTGAAATTAAACAACGTATGGTAACGTGCCCAATTGATTTTAAAACAAACACACACACACAGAGTAATTATTGTTATTTGCATTGTTTCCGATAATGATGATCATTATCATTAAATGGAAAATCAATGTCCAATGTCCAAGTAGCAATTGATCGATACCTTCCATATCATTATCAACAACAACAACAATCAATACAAGCATACACAAGACCATCCTCAAGTCCAATCCATGACATTGCCAATTGAATTAATGATTCCCAAAGACTAACTACTTGTTTTGACTTGTGAATTTTTTTTGTTCTGTTTCAAAATGATCAAATCGAATCAATTGGAAACAACAAAAAATTTTCTTCACATTTCCTTTAGCAGGAAACAAAAAAAAAACAAATGCAAAATTTTCTGCAGCTGAATTTGTTTTATCGACATGCGATAACAAAGAAACGAATAACAAAACAATGTGGGAGTTGACCGGTTTCAAAATTGCAAATTCAAAAAAAAAAATCTTAATTATAATTTGAATGGGAAAAAAAATTTAAATTTAATAGCAATAGCCAGTAGCTATAGCTAGAAGTTTAATTGAAACAAACAAAAGCAAAAAAACAGAATTCAACATTGAAAAAAAACAAATAATTTCCTTCTCCTATTCTCTGAAGAAGATGATGATGATGATTTGGCGCAAAAAAAATATATTTCAAAATTTCTTTAACCATAAATCCGGGTGCTAATGTTTCGGTTTTTTGTGTAGGTGTGTGTTTCTTTGAGCATTTCTTTGCTCAATTTCAAAAACCACATTCAAAAAGAAAAAGGATTTCCATTTCTCACCACTTTTACTCTCTTTTTTTTCTGATTTAATATTCATGTATGATAATCGTTTTTGGTGTTTGTTGTTGTTTTTTCATTCATTCATTCATTCAGTCTTGATTATAATGATGATGATGATTTACCAACTGTGTTTTTTTTTTTGTTATAAATTTATCCTTTTCGATATTAGTTTGAAATTTTTTTTTGTCTTCTTTCCAACGAATAGAGAACAAATGAAATAAATATAAAGAAAAAGAGAGAGAAAAAAAAGGCAGCCAATTTATGTTTCTATGTTCCAAATGGATCGGTTGTTTTTTTTTCTTACAAATATAATATGCACAAATATCGATGATGAACAGTATGATTATTTTTTTTATTGGATCAACTTCTGTTAAAGTAGTCGTCGTCGTCGTCGTCATCATTGTCGTCATCGTCTTATATCAAGTTCCAACATATTCAGACAGAAGCGAAATTTTTCCATTTCTTTTTTTTTGTTGTTACATTATTCGCGCCTTTTTTTTGAAATTGTTTAAAGAAAACATCACGACGTTTGATGTATAAAATATAAATGTTAATGTGTAACCAATGGTCATTTTTTTTGACGGATTGTGTTGAATTCATTTTCATTTTCAATTTTCTTAAAAGCTTTCCCGTATTTCTAAAGACTTGATAAATTTTTCGTTGTTGTACATTTTCGATGTAGAAAAGAAAAAAAAAGTAAACGATCGATACAAAATTGTTTTCGGAATTTCAATTTTTCAGGTGAAAAAAATAACATTTTTAAATGTAAAATCAAATCGAAAATTATTATCCAGCAATTTATTATTATTATTATTATTTTATTTGAAATCATCAAATTATCGCTTTTTTGCTCGTTATCTATAAGCTTTTACGAATTATCATTATCATCATCATCGAAATTTTTTTTGTAGCCATCATCATTATCAACGACAGCAATTTTTTTTCTTTCAAAAACTTAATACCACTTTTTGTTCCGAACATCTTTATCAAATGAAACAAAAAACCAAACGAAAGCGAACTTGAAAATTTTTTTTTTTAAATCTTTTTTTTGTTGTTTTAATTTGTTGATCAAATTCTTCAATTTCATCATACATCTGCTTCATTTTTTTTAAATTCTCTATCCTGTGACATTTTATTTTTTATCATCATCATCATAATAACCATCTTCAAGTGATGTTCGATCTGATTTATTTTAACTAGCCAAATGATCATAATTTTCAAACAATATCTGATTTCATTATTTTATCTTATGATGATGATTACATCACATTTATTGTCTATTTAGTTTTAATCTTTTAAACACACTCATTCAAAGATCTTAGTATCTGGATTAGGTAGACTGATAAAGAAAACATTTGTTCCAAAAATCAAAAAGTATTCCCACACATACAGACACACACACACACATAAACACATTGAATGATGTTTGTTTAGTTTGTTATTAAGTGAATAAAATATATAACACATCTTTTGGGCGTCATCATTATCATTAATTATAACGCCCATCCATTGACAAACATTGAAATAAATCAACAAACAAACAACAAATAAAAAATTTTAAAAAGTAATTTCAATTCGTGACTTTTTGATGAAAATAAATTTATCTTCAGAACAAACTGAACAAACATTCATCACATCGAATGGTATGTTACAATTGTTTTTTGTTTTTGTTTCTTCTCTTCATTTTTCAGAAAAAAGAATGATCTATATGGTTATTTCTAATGATACTGATAACAAATAAATTATTAGATAAATTTTTTCATTTTGTTTTGTTTTGATAAGATTCTCAATTCTTAAAAAACTTTTTCATAGGATTACAACAACAAAAAAATTCATATAAAAGTGACATGTATGTTTGTTTGTAATGAATCACATACATAAATCAAAACGTATAAAAATGTTATAAATTTATTTTAAAATTTTAAAATTTTGTTTATTTTTTTCATATTTTTTTTAAAAAATCCAAATCCATTCAATATTCATCGATTAGCATCAATAATAAAAAATATTTTGTTTTTAAATTATCCAAAAAAAATGATGAAAAAAATGAAATCTTCTATTCAATTTCATCGACAACGATCATCATTATCAAAATCTTTGAATCGAATGTTAATCATGAATTTATTGACCATTTTATGTATGTAAATTTTTTTGTTGTTAGTTTTTTTTGTTGTTGTTGTCGTTAAATAATTTACAGAATATCATGTTTTTTTTTCTCTGTTTCATTAATTTTTAGTCATTTTATTTGGCATTTTTCATTCAAGTATTCAAAGTCAAAAAAATGTTAATGAACCGGAATTTGGTGCACGATTAAATAATCGTCCACAAACATCGATAGCATCACATAATCGTCATGGTCATCGTTACAAGCAACAAAAATCATCAGATTTAAATCAGAATAATTATCATGGAAAAAAATTAAATTCGATTACATCATCATCATCATCACCATTGAAAACAAAATTGGAAAAGAAAAAAAATTTGGATTCAAATAATAACAATAGTAGCAGTAGTGGTGGTAGTGTGGTTGGTAATGTAAGAATTTTTCGTAAGAAAAATAATATTTATTCCAACAATGGAAAAAAACCAAATTTTCCTTCGACCACTACTTTGAAAACTTTATCAACTAACAATCAAACTGTTTTGAATATCACGAATAATAATCATCATCATAAAAAATGGCCTATTAATAACAAGGAAATGATTAATATTGATGCTATTGCTACTACCAATAAAGTAAAGGCTAATAAATCCGCCAATAACAACAACAGTATCGATGATAATGATCAATCTGCATCTGAATCAATCTATTCAAATCAATATGTTGTTGTTGGTCATCATGATCATCATCATCATTCAAATCATTCGCATAAGGTAAGTGGTTGACATATCCATATGATAATCATAATAATCAAATGATCCACAGCAAAAAAAAAACATTTTCCTTCTCTGTAAACGGATCATAATGAAAAAAAAGAGGTCGAAATGTGATCACAACAATTGAAATCTGTTTTTTCTTCTACATCAAATAAAAGTGTTAAAATATATTATAATAGTGATTGGGTGGTGATGTATACACCTAGGAAAAAAATAACTATAATAGTATCCTATACACCATATTGATTCAAAAAGGAAAATATTAAAATTGTCGATCGATTTCCATTGAAAACTTTATTGATTCATCAATTTTTTTTCCTTTTAATGTCTAATATTTTCTTCGTTTTTTTTACTACTTAGCAACTATTACAACAAGAGCAAGAACATCATCATCATGCCCAAGATGATCAGGAAAAGTTTATAAGACAGCCAATATTGGTGGATAATTTGATGGCAATGTCAAATGAATTGCCTCCATTGACTGCTGCATTGCCAATGCATTATTTAAGCCATCATGAATCATCATCATCGATGGATTCACATTTAAGTCCTTCGTTATTCGCAGCTGATCCAAATGTTGCCAGTTTATATGCACCACATTCATCAACGGATGAATCAATAAATGGTGGTTTGATTGAAAAACCTGGCATAATTATGCATCATACATTTCCAATGGCATTGAATCATCAACAGCCTATCACTCATCATTATTATGATCCATCATCGTATTTAGGTCGAGAATCATCAGGACTAATAGATTCATCATCGATGCATAACCATCATAACGCAATCATGATGAATGATCATATTCCAGGAATACCGGGAAAACCATGGAAAGATTATCCAATGTATAGTCAGGTGCCAAAAACAACATTCCATTGTAATGGTGCATATGGTTATTTTGCTGATTTAGAAACTGGTTGTCAATTATGGCATTATTGTCAACCGGATGGCCGTCATGATTCATTTCTTTGTACGAATGGTACCTTATTCAATCAGATGACTAGAGTTTGTGATTGGTGGTATAATGTTGATTGTGAAATGTCTCCACATCTTTATGGTGTTAATGCAGATCTTTATAAGCAGCCTTTAGCACATTTACAGCCATTAACATATCACCAACATAATCCTATTTCACATCTGATCTGAACATCATTACAAACACACCTATCATTCATTCAAAGGTGAAGGTTTAACTAGATAAATTTGATTTTTTTTTAAACAGAATGCTCGGCTAACTCAAAAATTTTGATTATTTTTTATTTTTTTATTTTTGTTTTGATTATTGAATTTTTATTATCAAAATGTTAAGTTATGTCATATTTTTTGTTTTTTTGTTTGTTTGATTGTTATTGTTTCAATTTAAAATTAATTTATTTTTTGTTTTTGAATTAAAAATAAAAATATTCAATAAAATATACGATTCTTTCATATGATTCTATTATCATTAATGTTTGATCTGCAAGTATTCATGCGAATCGACATTCTTTGTAACCTTCACACAATTTTTTTTTAAATGTTTAAAGTTTTTCTTTCAGCTATCCCTTTTGACAACAATATTTGTTGTTTTGCTTTCTTTTCTCTTTTTTTTATATATATTTCCTTTTCTTTGAATTTTTTTTTCAAATGATGTTCGTTTCTTGATATCCCGTTTCTAGCTTTATGGATTTCTACATTTTTTTCCGCACAACGATGATAATTTGAATTAATAGACAATAGCAAACAGGATAGGTATATAAAGCAAAACTACGCCCCGGATATTCATTATGTGACATATCCAAAAAAATTGTTCATTTTCTTCTCAGTTGTTTTAAATTTTTTTATTTTTATTTTCGGGCTTACTTTTAATATATTTGATTGATGTTTATCATCATTATATCATCATAAATATTTTTATGCGTTGGTGTATTTTGACTTTTTTTCTGGTTTCCTGATTGACATCAGTTGTTATTGTTGGGTTATTGATTCATCTTCACCAAGATTATCACAAAATAAGTACAAAAAAAATTCAATCATGCTTGTTTGATCAGGCGAAATCCTTCATGATTGAATGATTTGCAATGAAACAAAAACGGAATTTAAAATTTAAAAATTAAATATTGTTAATTTGAATAAAACTAAAAGAAAAACACATTCTTTTGCAATAAAACCAACAAAACAAAAAATGACTGAAGACATTTCATTTCAAAGTTAATAGGATATAAATATTCGAAAATAAAATGACTTAAACATAAATAGTTAATTTATATACAATTTTAATTAATCAATTAATTTATAGTAACGATAATCTCATTCAATTATTGAATGACAAGAATTTAGTTTGTAAACGAAAGGATCTTATCTGATTTGATTTAAATTCAATTCAAGCATTTTAATCATAAAAATTAAGTTTTATTCATTTATTTGTAAAATTATGAATTTGTTAGAAGAATTTTTTTCAAAATTTAAATGAATCATAATAATCTTATTTTTCAAAACAGCGACGTATATAATCAAATTTCAAATAATTGCGTGTTTCTTCATTAAGATACGGTTTAAATATTTCAACAAATATATTGTTAAAATCGAATTTGATTTGATTTAATCCGTCGTCGCTTATTCGCTTTTTTTGGATAAAATTGTCAACGTATTCTTTATTCAAATATTTGGATAGTTCGATCAAATAGGAATTAAATGTTGAAGGCATTGTCTTTCGAACAGTCGATATCAATGATGATAAATATAAGAATGCGTCTCGTGCATCGGAATTGCATTTGAATCGGTGATTGGTTTGATACTTAATTTCATTCCAACTATTCCTTTTATAAGGAAGAAACTTAATTTTAAATTCATCCATTGTCAATTCTGCCAATATTATTGTTGCATCCATATTTATATAATCTAAACTCTTTTCATTTCGCTCCCGAACAAATGATGGTAGATTTGAATTAATAAGCTTTTGGTAAAGCAAATCAATAATTCGAAGTTTTTTATTAAGTTCTGCAAATTTTATATTTTTATCTTGAATGTTGTATGATAATTCCGAATAAAATTTCTTCACAAAATTTATTGTAATTTTTCGTATTTTTTTCCTATTATCTTCGTATGGCATTAGTTCCATTTTATCTATAAATATAGAAACAAAATAAAAATTAAAAGAAAGATTTATTGTCAAATCATTTTATCAACCTGTGAGATCTTCAATATTGTTGACCAATTTTTCAACAATAATATCTAGGCTTGTTTTACATTTTGTTGGATCATTTGAAAATAAAGATTCATAGTGACTCGATGAAAAAATTTTACCAAGATTTCTCATTGATCCTATTTGTTTTGTAAAATGTGATAAGAAATAAATGGTAAAAATGAATTTTTTATTATTGATGAATAATAATGCTTACTTTTCTTCATTCCATCAAAATAAGAATCAACAATCTTTTTAATACAGAAAATTTTTTTTAAAATGTTCAAATGATCGTTCCCATAATATGTCTTAAATTGTAATAGTGCACAATGAAAATTCATAATTTCATTAATGTAATTTTCTAAATCAATAAAATTATCTTTCAAGTCATCCGATATTCTCTTATGAACTAGATTAATAACATGCTTGGTTATTTTTTCCTGTTTTTAATATTTAATATTATAATTATTCAAGCCAAAATAATAAATCAAAAAATTAATTACCGATATTGTTGATTTATAACCATATTGTTTTAAAATATGATCTAGATTTAATTTTTTAAAGAAAGAAATGCATTTTTTTAGCCATTTCTTTATCTTTATGAAAAAGATCCCCGTCTGTTGAATCAGTCGCGATACGATAAGATTAGGATAAAGTGTTAAAATTTCAATTTTGGTATTTTTTTCAAACATTTCAATGTACTCACTTCGTTTTCGTCCAGCATCTCTTCCCAAGGTCCCCATATGAGGACCAATGGGTCTACACGATCAATCATGTCATCCCCATCGGCCTTCAATGTTAGTGACTTGGAGCCATTCCACGGATATTTATTAAATCGCATAGTTTTCAATTCTAATAAAAAACGAAAAGTCAGTTTGAACAATATCCGATTTTCTATCGGATCATCAAGATGATCACAAGATGTACTGAAATCGAAGGTTAATCCAATTTGTGATGATACATCATTGAATATTTTTTTAATTAATTTGTTGAGATTACAATAATCATCAAAGAGAAAATATTCAAGCCTCGATGCTAAAATTGTTGATTGAAATTTTTTGACATCTTTATATTGAATATAAAGATCAACTATTTGAAAATATTTGAAATGGATTTTTTCAATCATTTCAATCATAACTTTTACATTAGAATTTCTGTATTCAATTTTTAACTTTTCAATGTCATTTTCAATACTATCTAAAATATTGAATGAAATTTCGAATTGTGTTGAGTCGATTTCAATATCATCTTTACAAGTATCAATAATTTTATTCAATTTTTTCACTTCGTTTTCACTTAAAACATCTAAAATATTGTAATTTTCTATCAATTCACCAGTAATTTCAAAAATTGTTTTTTCAATCATTTGTATGTTGTTAGCACCGAGATTATTCTTTTTCACGTCCTTTATTTTATCCAAAGAATGTTCGATTTTTGCATTAAAAAGAATAAATTGACGATTGACTCGTTTTTCATAATTGTAAAAGTAATCATCAAACTCCGAAAGAATTTGTTTTAATTTAAATATTTTTGAGTTAATTTTAGCAGAACTTGGTAATGATGATGATGGAGGTGTTATCGATCTCGTGGATGATGATGATGATGATGACGATGAATGTTGATCCATTTTCAAAAATTATCATCACAAAAAATATGATAATCACAAACTTTTTTTTTTGGCTACTGAACCGTCTAATTTATTTTAGTATTATGTGAAGCAACACCGATGAATTTTAATAACAAAATGATCGAATAATGTAATGTAATCGTCCATGCTCGCAATCAAATTCGACACGTGGTTCGAACTTTCCAAATTCATTTAATCGAATTTTTTCAGCCTAGCCATTTCCACGTGCATTGCAAGAAGTGTAACAATTGTATTAAATAGGGTGATAAATCTATAACTTGTTGTTCAAAATTCGAAAAATTCGATGTCACCTGCGCTGTCGTCTTTTTCAATGGCGCGGAATGATGTTTGAAAAGAAACAAAATTGCAACAATTAATGTATGGTGTTGTTATATTTACGTCCAAATAGATCACAAAAATTTTAAAATTACACAAAATTAACACTTGAAAAAAAAATAACAAAAAAATTTATTATCATTTATGTTCAACAGTTAAAAATGAAATTAAACTAAAAGTAAAAAATTTAATACATAAGTCTGTAATAAGAGAAACATGATACAAATGATCATTCATAAGCAAGCTTAAAATAAGCTCTTAGAGATCAGAATTGGGACAAATTAACATCTTTACAATTAATGGAAGGTTTCAATAATGTACCGGTAACAATGCCAAATAAAAGAATCCAACCAATTTGCGTGTTTTGGCGAAAAGCTCGTGCACAGCTTTGAATGGAATCAACATCTAGTTGTCGATTTATTCGTATCAAACCGGCAGTCAGAATTCCAACAGATAGATAAAATGGCCATGTCTGATTGGTTATGATACCGGAAGAAAGCAATGACACTGTCATCATCGCTGTAAAACCATTCAGATATCTAGGAGTTTTCGAACCGAATTTTAATGCTGTCGACTTTAGGCCAAGAACAAGATCATCCATTTTATCTTGATGTGCATAGATTGTATCATATATTAAAGTCCAACATATTCCAGCCATATATAACGGTAATACAGTGCTAATATTCATCATACCACCGGTATTGACTGACCAGCCAAGTAATGTACCCCAATTAAATGTCATACCAAGAATTAATTGTGGCCAATAAGTGAAACGTTTGAATGATGGATATGATGCCACTAATAACAAACTGGATGCACCGAGAAGGATACTGAAATATATGAATAAAGAAATATCAAGGTTAATGTCACTATGTTTCATGTAGGATACATTACCTGTTCAAATCAAATTGTATAAGAACTAATAGACTAGAACCTAATAACGTGAATAATAAGGCAACGGCTTCGGTTAGATCGATTTGTTGGGAAGCCAATGGACGCAAACGTGTACGTTCAACATTACGATCAAATCGACGATCCCAGATATCGTTCACAATACAACCAGCTGAACGCATCATCACAGCACCTATACCAAATAAACCCATCAGTGATAAAGATGGTAATGATCCGGCCGTCGTACTGAGGCCTATACTCCACCAACAAGGTAATAATAAAAGCCAAGTACCAGTCGGTTTATCAAGGCGCATCAAACGTGCAAATGGACGAATTTTTTCGGGTAAACGATCGACTAAACGTGATGATAAGGTACCGGATAAATAATCAGTATTTTTAGATTCACTGATTGAACTGAATTCATTTGAAAAATAGAGAATTGGACTGAAACGCTTTTGTCGATGAAAACGAATGTAAGACGAATATGATGATAACAATTTAATAGATTTAGTCGATCCATATTGATTGGGTATAGTTGATTGAAAACCGAGAAATTTGCCACAGAAAATTCGATATGAAACACTTTGACGATTCATAGTTAATCTTGCTAATGATAACATTTTTTTTCTTTCAATCGTAGACTTTTCAGTCTTTCGAAACGAAATAAATTACTGGTACATTTTACGAAAACTATCAAAAAAGATCAATCAATAACTTTTATATCAGGTAATCGATTGAATTACGGGAAAAAGTATCAGAAAAGATATTGCAACAAAAAAATAAATATAATTTAACAAAATTAAAAAACAAAATAAACTTTTGAATTTTGAGTCACATGTTAGTATCGGCTATTGTGATCCTATCAGGTATTAAAATGTCTAAATAACTGTATTATATTTAAGAATTTCATGGGAATTTTTTTTTTATTGAAACAAAAAGGAACAAACAAAAATTCATTAACAGTTCCGTCAGTCATATAATCATTATCATCGATTGCAAGAGAATTTTAAGAAATTTTCGACGGTAAAAAAAATGTTAAAAATAAAAAAATAATCAATAACAAGAGAGATAGCTTAAACAGTCATTCATTCATTAACATTCAAATGTATTTTTTTTTTTTTTTTTTTTTTTTTTTTTTTTTTTTTTTGGGGGGGAATAGAAAAAAGAGGAAAAAAAAAAAAAACAA